GGGGTCAGAACGGATTAACTGTATTTACATTGAACCTTATGGGAAAATTTGATTCGGGTTGTGACCAATTCGGGTCGTGACCAGAGTCGCGGAACGAATTCAGTTCGTGACCCGAGGTACCACTGTATTTTGTACTACAAGTCCCACAGTCCTTTATTACTGGGTAGCTTTATTGGCACCGAAATACAAAAATGTGGTAATTACTGAATTATCTATTTTGATGTGATCTGATTCATTTTTTTGTATACTATTATAGCATTTGTTGTGATCGAGTAGAAACCACAAACATAAACTGAAATATCTAGATTATTGAAACAGAATATACTGCTAGCATTCATTTGCTTAAAACAAATTTCTACACCTGATATCCGATTCCTACAGACAGAATCATAGTAATTTAATTACAAAAATATGACACAAACTATTTTTTGTGAGGCTCAAAATAGAAATAGATCAATATTGTTTTGAAAAAACAAAATATAAAATATAACTGAAAAGTACCTTGATAACCGCTAGTACTGAAAACCAGGGCCAAACCCTGTAAAGCTTTTCCTATTTTCTGATATTCCTTGGGTAATGCTGAAAAAAAACCAAAACCCATATCTACAATGTATTTGAATAAAGGCAAACTTCTTCAATAAATAACTGGATACAAGATACTTTCTAGACATCCTAGTGTGGCAAAGACAAATGATCTTAAATCCTCTTCCCAACAGTTGCTGCATTCTCCCCGCTCCACCTTATTATTTCACTTCCCACATCTTGTTTCACTTCTTCTGTCTCTCTTGGTACCAGGCTATTAATGCTTAATCCTGGGCTAGCAGCATTACCTGAGACATAAAAATATACAGGTAGTCCCCAGGTTAAGAATGTCTAGGTTACAGATGACCCATAGTTAAGAATGGAGCCTATTGTAGCAAAATTCAAGTTAAATACACAATAATTTGAGTTAAATGCACAATGGTTTGAGTTAATTACACAATACTACTTATACTGTATTATACAATAATACTGCTCCAGCTTATGTACAAATTCAGCAAGGACAGACCTTGGGAATGGAACTCATTCTCAAACTGGGGACTACCTGTAATGTAGATCAAGGTATATTCTAACAGTGTCCTTTAAATTCCAGTTAATATGTGGTAGTTTCAACAAACAAAACTATCAGTTTTTCTCCAAAAAACCAGCGTTTTTAAGTGTTAATACAGCAAATACTTTTGTGAATATGTTTTGCAAAGTCCATTATATTTGATGTATGAATATTGCACTAGTAGTCCTAGGGTTTGATAAAAGAAAAACCAAATTACACATTTCATTAAAGCAGCTACATATTACTTACGTCCTGTACAACGTTTCCAGTGTTCATGGCCTACTGTTAGCAACTCCTTAACTCCATCATCCATGGTTTTAGTGAACCTGCTAACTGCATCACACTTCTGCTCACTATACAATAAAAGAACTGAATCAGGTCCAGTGGAGAATTTTCATTTCTCTATTGCCTAGCAGGCCACATACTTACACTCTCCCTCCTTTTCACAAGTAATTGTCCACAGAAAATAGTTTTAAATTATGGGTGTATTGACAAAGAAAAAGGCTCATCTTTTCCCCACAAAAGTATCATTCAGTGTGAACGAAGAAGATTTATGCTTGGCCTGTTTCGTAAAACACTGACAAGTTGGGCAACTGTCAACCATACTGCCCTTATTAAGGCGCTTGAGTCAAAGTGAGTGGCTGTCCGGGAGTGGCAACTCACTCCCCAAGTAATACTCCCCAAAGAGTTTGCTTAACCATAGACCTCCAGCTCAAACAGCTCAAACTGTTTGAAGTTTATCACCATGACTACTATAAGTTCAATATCTATAGTATGAGGAGGAAAAAAAATGACACACTGAGTAGAACCAAAAGAGTCTTTCTTAGCTTAGTGCTACTGCAGAGAAAAATCTTCACCATGTCACTACTGTGGCAGTCAAAAGGAAACTAAAGAAAAAGTAGGAACAGTATCTAGGAAGTCTGAGTAGGAAGCTTTCTGTCTGAAAAGTCTACATTGCTCTAGAAATATCTATGCAGATGAACAACAACAACTGGGAGAGAAAAGAACACAAAGCATATAGGGCAAATCATTTAACACTGATGATAGCAATCCCAAAAAGATTTAACTAGTTTTTCAGCCACAGCAAGAAGTTCAATAAGCTAAAACAACAGGCTACATCATTCAAGTTTTCTGCAATGTCTGATTCATATAAAAGACAAACAATACATCCGTACATACAAATTTTACTTATAATGTGTAATGAACACTTAAAGAAATTTTAATTTGCATCCTATCAAGCTATTATATATAAATAACATTTATTTACTGGCATTAAGAATCCATTCAAAATCACCAAAAATAGTTTACAATTCTGCTTGGAGAAAAACATTCTCAGAAAGAACGTTCTTTAACATCTTTGGCCCAGTGTAGTTACAATGCTGCCATTATTCAGCATGAAGAAAAGTTTAGGAGTGAGAAGAATGCATGGTCTCTTCACTACCCCTCCATTTTTTCATGAAAATTCACTTTGCTTGCTGTATGGTTGTGTTCAACATCCACATACCAGCCTTACTGGTGCAAGATGAAAATTCTACATAAAATAATCCTGTCAGCATTATCCATTTTTAATATTGATGCTAGAAAATATTTAATTATGGATTAAGGCAGAGAGATTTCACAATAAAGGAGGCTAGGAATAGGAAGCACGTAAACCAAAAGCACTATGAATCTCTTCACTATGATTGGCTGTTGTAATCCTTAATTATGATTAAGGCCAAATATGACAACAATTGCCTTAGGCAATTGTCTGTTTTTCCACAGACTAGATATGTTATACATAAGAAAGGAAGGCTTTCAGGCAGCCAAGGGAGAGGGACGGGGGTTTTATTGCCAGAGGTCAAGCAGGAGGGGAGTTGATACTTTGGGCGACTGAGGAAGTAAGGAGCCCCTCACAGGTCTCAGGCCTGCTGTTGCTGCAGGGAAAAAGCAAATGTGAATCTCCTTTTCCCTTTCTCACATCTGTGCTTCATTGCTGCTGACTGGGGCCTCAGCTCTTTCACCACTGGGGGCCCCACTTGAAGGAAGTGCTTTGGGGCTCACAGAGCTCTACTTATGCCTTTGGCAACAGCCCAAGAAAACTGCTCTCAGTATGGAAAATAATACAGATCAGTAAAATGACACTTGTGTTAACCCTTGCAAGGATTAGCTTGCTAGGATACAAGCCTGTTTAAATGAGCCTCACAAGGAATAGCAAAAGGTTTTAGTTACAGTGAAAATACTTTTTCTAACAAGATTAAAGATATACTTGTTTTACACTGGTACTTTTTCATCAGATGACAGCATTTTTGTTCTATTGTAATAGCAATGGAGAATCCAGCAACTTACATTTCTATCATATCCAAATCAGGAGCCTCTGGTTCCATAGTAGAAAATACCATGACACCAACAATCTCATCTTTTTCTGCCTTCCTTTTACCTGTTTTCCATTCCTAAAGATAAGAGTGATTGTATGAGGGATGCACATTCTAGCATTGACATCTTGAACACTTTCCCATGGTCTTGATTAGGGCAGGAAGTTGGGATAGCTCTTCTGGTTCTTTCACAGCTGATCTGCAGACCAAGCATGCCTAAAGCCATGACCTAGAGGGTCATACAATCTACCATATATGAAAGAGCTATAGAAGTTGTTTTAATGAAGCTTAAGAGGCAGCTACTTGAAAGAGAAGAGCACTGAAATCTTTGCAGATACACCTGAAAGAATTTGTGGACTGTGACTTGACTTATGTTATCCATCTTCACTTTACTACTTTCCTAAACTACAATCTAAATAAAGCATAGCTTAGAAGGCATTAGTGTTTATCGCAAACAAATTGTACAAGAAATATTCCCTATTACAAGGCATTTTTTTCTATTAAAATTAGCCTACCAATCCATTCCAAAGAACTTTAAGCAAACATGTTACCTTTTCATCACGGAAACTAAGGAATTGCTGAAAAAGTTCACTTTCTGAAATAACAGGGTGACGACACATCCTGGTCATCCAAGCTTGTAATCTCTCCATCCGCATTTTGATGAATTCTTCTTCAAAACGTCCTATAGCCAAAAAGAGACTGCTACTAGCATCCATGTTGTGATACTATTTTTTGAGATCAATCACTGAATATCTCGACTAGCCTGAAAAAATATGCATATTTCATGAATTTGCCTATGTCTAACTCATTTTTTTCCCCTCAAACTGAAAATAGTTAATTTATAAATTTGGTATAATGCTTTAATTTATTATGGCAAGTATTTTCAGCTTAAGGCAAGAGATTGCTGACACAGAATATTTAGTTTTCCCTTAAGAATGTTGATGTGGTAAAAAGTAAAAGATTTATGTGAACAGTAGGCAAATATGGGCCATAGAATTAGCCCATCCAGCCTCTGAGCTGTTTTGCTGTCTCACCAACCTCTCTCCCTTTTGATTTCCCTTCAAAAATGTTGCATTTCTCCAATACTGTAATCATCAGATTTTTGAAAATAAATCTCCTCCTTTAGGAATGCAACTAGACCCCTTTTAAATGGTGGAACAGACAGCCAAGGAGGTGACAGAGGATACCTTTACACAATACTAAGGGAAACATAAAACTTAAATTTGTCCATTTTCAGTTTCCTTGGCATTAAAGAATTGTGAGTGTCCATGCTCAGTTTTCTTTTCACAATTTGAAAAGTACACAGAGCTACAGCATCGGCTCTGTTATTGGCTGTTTTAAATATATCTGTTTAAGAGATTATGGCTGACAAGTCAAGGAGAGACAACTGGGGAAAAATGCCAGCTCATTAAAGCAAAAATTGTAGCCCTCCTCATACCATCATAAAAAGGTTTATGATTCCAATAATGCAATGGTTTTGTAATTACAGACTTAATTTATTTTCCTTGTATTTTTATAACAGTGGACCAAGTTATAAAATTATTTGGCAATGCCATTAATAGTCCAATTCAGCACATTAAAAATTCCATGAAAAGACAGACTCCTGAAATTGTCAGAATGCTGTAAAAAACAAAATATTAAGCTGCATATTTTCAGGAAATATAAAACTGAACAAAACAAGTATAGTGATAGTTTTACCAGCAATTATACATGCTATTCTATTAATGTTTATTCCTCTATTTTTCTGGATTTCAATGTGACATAACTTGAAAGTGCACTCATTCAATTTAGTCACTATGTGTTTCTCTATTTGTGAAAAATAAATTACATGCGATTACCGAAAAATATAATTTTGATAAAATTACCTGTAACCTGTTTATCTGGAAGAGATGGAATTGGAATGGCTGATCCAAACTTAATTAAGAGACGCTCATATAACCAGTCGAAGTGTTTATATCTATGGTTGACCGATCGATTGGTATTCTGTAAAACAGACAAAAACCTCTACTATATGAATTCTGTAAAGCTGTAATTATTACAAGCGTTATATCATCAATATTATTACATTTTTAATTTTTTTTAAAAAAACTGGAGCAATGAGATATCCTATGATAAACAGTCCTGGTACACACTTACTGTACATGTAAGCTGATATTCGATGTAGCTCTTCAAGCCATACATTTTAGAACCTTTTTTTGGATCAGCCACAACACAGTCAAATGTAGAAGTAGGATAAACCCACATTGGACCATAATCTCCAATCTACAGGATAACAACGTTATATATCAATTCTAAGAATGCTATACAGTATCATACCTTTTATATACATTCACCCACACCTATTAAGATCTACTAATTCTACCTAAAAACAATTAGCTCTTGTCAATATAAAAGTCTAATAACTTTTCTGTAACTTAACAGGATGTACTATTAGGTCTAATATAGCAATGGATATTGATTTGGAGCAGGTAGGCAATGCAACATGTAATAAGTATTTCCCAATGTTTCCTTATTCATTACTTAGAACTCAAATAATCAAAGTACTATATGCAACATACTTTCAACTGGACAGCATGAAAGTTTATTCAAGAAAAAAAATCCATAAAAAGTTAAGGGACCTCAATTATGCTGTAGGATGCTAATGAAGAACTTAAGCCCACCCTCAATATTGAGTTAGTGAATGATAGGCTTCCATATTTTCAGAAATATAGAATTGAGATTTCATAGTCCCTGTATACTATCCTAACTATTTACTGCTTTGGTTAAGTGTGGTGCATATTTTTAAGTGTTTAGATTAATGGTTCATGCAATGTCTAAAGATTTAGGTAGATGGGTATTAACTTACAATTATAGGAATTTTCTCTTTGGGTTTCACTAGCTGCTTTGCCAGCAGGTACTGTTCCACTCCAGGTTTTGCAAATCCAGGAAATCTAATCAGAGAGATAAAATGACTCAAGTCTTCTCTCAGAGGGTTTTTGCTGTATTCAGAAATGCCAGCCATGATTTACAGGCACTTGGCTTTCCAGTACAATAAATGGCCCTCTTGTTAAAATACTTGAGCCAAAAATTATCCAGCCTCAAAGTAATTAACAACTGCATCTGAAGTCTCTATCTCTACATATGTAATTAAGCTAGCTCTGATTGGTTGAATTCTGCCAATTAGAACAAACAGTGGATAGCAGCAGTTAGTACCAACTGCCACCAAAATACCATCCACTAGGCTCTTAAATTCTCTTCTGTCAATTGGGAAACCAGCTATATTCTCATACAGATCAGACTGTGTTCCAATCCCGAATCCCACCTCCACTCCCAATGCATGAAAAACGACTTGTCTATAGCAGGACTTTCATCTCACTTTCTAATCAGCCCACATACACATCTGGCCACACATCTGCATTGAATATTGATTTCCAGTGATGAAAAAACAGTTCTCAGTGCAGCATTTGGGAACCGAACAGAGAAAGCTATTGACGGTCAGGATATAAAGCCTCCTAGGGTTACTCCAGTAATTCAGGCAGAATGTAAATTGATAAATATTAAAGAGCAGCTAGACTCAAATAGTGATATACTTCAGCAAAAGGAGACTAGACTTATCCTGTTAAAATAATTAACTGCAATGTTGTTACCATCAGAAAATGAGAAGAGGAGCAAACAATATAATCAGTGAGTTCCACCTGAATAATTCAGATTCACCTGAGGGGCACAGTAAGTTTCGACATAAAAGAGGGATCCCAGTTCATCTACATTTTTATTTGCTTAAGGGTTTAGAAAGAATAGTTCTCATTTTTCTATCTCCTTCAGCTAAGATAAATAAAGTCTCCTTTGACTGAATTTGACTCCAGTTACCTTATTGGGCCAGTCTATATAGTTATCTTGGTAATAATACAGAATTGACTTGCCAGTGCCTTCTGGATTTTTTTTTTTTTACTTTCTAGTTTAGCCTACAGCCCAGGAATTTCATGATGCTTTCCTATCCAAATACTAATTAAGGCTAGCCCTGCTTAGTTTTTTGTAATCAGCCAAGATCAGCTAGATGCTGCCACAGTACTTAGCTAGACTTTTCAACTGAAGAATACAAGCGCTTTTTCCTTTTAAGATTTATAGGATACACCAGTTACAGATTTTGACTACAGCATTCAAACTATTGAGAGATTAATTCACACATTTCTCTTTAATTTCTGTTCTGATTAGATTCTAATATGGATTAGAACTCCATGCTATGAGTCCTACTTGTTCAATGGCAATTTCATAGCAGTTCCACGGCTGTTTCCACGTTGAAGCCCTGCTGGATCAGAGGGCTCTGCCTCTTTATAACCAAGATAGGGTGTAGCTGCTGATTTGGGTTCATCCCATTCTTCATCCCAATCATCATCATCGGCAGCTGCTAAAGAGCAAAGGACACCAACTGTATGAGCAGTTTAGAGTGCTAATTGTTAAAAAGAGTGTACGTAATTAACTAGGACTTTCCAATATAGTTTCCCTTAACAGTCATGCAGAACTGTTCAGATGACTAAAAAGCGTTTTGAAGCACAATGACACTCTGTTGAAAGCTGAAGGGACTGCTCAACTGTCAAACAAATAAGCTTCTATCATCGCAGTATTTTGTAATTTAATGAAATGGGCATTAAAAATCTGCTGTATGCTTACTCTAGTTTTAAAAGAGTTTAGAAACATACCAAATATTATACTCAATAGTTTTGAGGGTGAGGGGAACAAGGGTGGCCTATCCCAAATATGATTCAGCATTTAATCAGATGGAGCAATACTTTTCAGTAGAATATATTCAATCATAAACCTAATATTGTTTTTGACTTTTCCACAGTTCAGTCTTACCCATCATGCCCATGTACTGGGTCACCGACTTCAAGATCGATACCAGATATAACAAGATGAAAGATTACCAAATGAGCATTCTGCCCCCAGTTCTCTCAAAGTCTTAGAAAATTCCTAATCATACTGTTCCATCAAAAGTCAAATGTGGAGTCCAATCACCATTCCTAAAAATTCTTATCAATTACAGACACTCTCTACTGACCTGGACCTTGATAAGCTTGAGGATGACCAAATGCTCCTGTCTCCCAATTGTTTGATACACTGTTTTTCTGCCTAGCTTCAGGCTTTGTTGACCAGGCATCACCAGTCGTTGTATTGTCCCAGCTTGACCAGGGATCATTTGCATTACTGGTGACCTATGTTAATGGAGGACAGAGCAGATAAAGCATCCATTAGTCTAAGGAAATGTCATAGATAAAAAGTAAAAATTAAAGAATTTGGAACCAATTCTAAAAGCTAGAAGATAATTTTTTTTTAAATGTATTTTTTCAGAGAACAGTCAAAATTATAGCATATATTCTAGAAGAAAACGACAAAAACACACGAGAATGAATAATAGATTTGGAAATTTTGCATCCTCTTAGCATTTCAGTCAGGTATACCTGTTTGGGAAAAGCAAATTTCTAGTAATAGCAGAAATATACATAATCGATTAAACGACAAAAACACACGAGAATGAATAATAGATTTGGAAATTTTGCATCCTCTTAGCATTTCAGTCAGGTATACCTGTTTGGGAAAAGCAAATTTCTAGTAATAGCAGAAATATACATAATCGATTAAACGACAAAAACACACGAGAATGAATAATAGATTTGGAAATTTTGCATCCTCTTAGCATTTCAGTCAGGTATACCTGTTTGGGAAAAGCAAATTTCTAGTAATAGCAGAAATATACATAATCGATTAAACGACAAAAACACACGAGAATGAATAATAGATTTGGAAATTTTGCATCCTCTTAGCATTTCAGTCAGGTATACCTGTTTGGGAAAAGCAAATTTCTAGTAATAGCAGAAATATACATAATCGATTATATCATGCAGGTTTTACTTTCTAGTATAAATATATATTTAAAAATTTTAAAAACTCTGAAAATATAATTGCCCAATTAAGGTATTTATAATGTTTCTCTCACCTTAAAATAAGATGCAACTGATCTCAAGCAATACAAGTTTTTAGTTCAATATTTTTAAAACAGCATAAATAAAACTAAAATTAGAATTGTCCTTATTATTAAAAAGGAAGAGAAAGATGAAAGGTATGGAAAATTGTATCTTGGCTTACTGAGCTAAAACATACACAAGCATTTTGATTGCATACAGAATATCTTTATTTTCCTCTGCAAAACAGATGTATTGTGGTTAAATCAGAAAGCGCTTAGTTAACCAGTTTCCTAACCAAATTTCAAATCATGGTGTAAGGTCCTGTTTTATTCCAAACTTGAAAATGACAACCTCTCACTTCAGAAGAAACAGGAGATTACAATTAGATGCTTCCTGATTCAATCACAACAGAGAAGGGCAAGAATGTCGCAATACATCAGCAAGCAAGTGACACATGATTTGGCTTAATAAACTCAAATATTTGCAGTTGCAAACAGCTGCCACAATTCCAAGACCAGATCTGGATGGCCCCCACTCTGCTATGGTTTTGAAGAGCCATGAAGATCTGGCTCTTCATCCAGACCTTTGGCCAGGGAAAGTAAAACCCTTTCCTTCATTCCATCTGGTCTGTTACATTTGCCATCTTTATCTGTATCTTTTATGTTTTATTGATTTTATTGTAATTTCTTTGTTTGATTGTTGTGAGCTGCCTAGAGTTGTTGAGAGTCCGGTGGCATACAAGGTTAACAACAATAATTATTATTCCACAGAACTGGATCTAGTATGATGTATGAAAATTGTATATATTAGATGACATTAGCACACCTGTATAAAAATATTATATACTCATTGTGGAATGATTTATAAATGTCCTATAATCCAAAAGAGAACTGAGGGGAAAGAAGGGAACCACTATTAATGTGTATCCTAGGAGTATATTCTCCCATCCCAAATCCTCAAGATGAAAAAGCTTCCTGACATGAGTTTTGTACAAATGACCCCTTTGTGTGATGCACATAGACCACATCAACTAACAGTTTACTGGCTTTTAGCTGGAAGCAAATATTATATGGCTTGGTTACTTGAGGGACCACCTCTGCCCACCTAGTAAGATTGGGCAGAATGGGCACACACCAAGGCCCCTCAATTAAACAATGCCATTTATTGGGGTGTAGGAAGTGTGCCTTCTCTGTTACAACACCTGCCCTCTGGAACAGCATCTGCCCAGAGATCCATATAGTTTCCACCCTGATGATGTTCCAAAAGTCTTTCAAAACTTGGCTTTACTTCCAGATTTGGGGGTAGGCTGGTTGCTGAGCTCCTGTCTTTTTTTCTTTGAGATGTTGGGTTTGTTCCCTTCAGACATTTGTGATCTTTTGTTTTTTGTTTTACTGCCTCTAAACTTAATTAATTAACTTAATGTTATTTTATTCAAAGGGGCTCACACTGCATTAAATATGTTTAAGATTATACCATAAATTTGAAATATAAAGTACTTCCATTTTGCTTAGACCTGAAAAGTATCTCATACATACTTCTAGGAGATAAAATAAGCAAGTGCAACCATAAACCTGTCAAGTTTGACATACAGATCCAACATTATTTCATTAAACACCCAGTAATTACAAGTACTATATGAACTTTCTACACATATGACTAAGTATACATTCTGAAGCATGCATATAATATATTAGAAACTCTGTGGCATGGTTTCCTGCATTCTTGAAGTGGGATATAAATGAAAAATGTAATGATTTTGCCCTAAAATGAACTAAGGTATTTTTGAAAAACATCCCATCAAGTTGAGTGGAGGGGGAGAGAAAATTCTGACTTCATCCGGTTTGTATCACCATTCCACTTATGGAAGCATTCACTGTACAGCAAAAGAGAATGTTAAGTGTAGCACCCAGCCATCAAAAGGATTTCTACCTCTCATAGAAGGAAAGATACCTTCTTAAAAAAAAACCTATTGATTTATTAATACTCATTCCCCCCCCATTTTTTTCTCACATACACACATAAACACGATACAGCAGTAAACTAAAATATGAGAAAGAGCCAGAGAAAAATCATGACAACGCCAAAATCAGTCCAAGGTTGTAATCGGCTGGAAATGGAATGCAGAGAAGAACCAAAAGATAGACTATGAGTGCCTTATTTAACAGTAAGTATGTATTTCTAGAATTCAAGAAGGTAAATGGTTCTAACTGCATCTAGGATGATCCAGAACAAAGAGAAGAAAGGACACATATAGATTATTATATAGAATTCTGAGCAATTTAAGCATTTCTCCAACTAAGTGAGGGAGTCACTGAAAGTACTTCAATTACTCCAGACTACTGTGACTCTTGTTGACACTAACAGTGGTAGCATTTCATGATTTTACCTTTAGGGCTCTAGATAAAGCTGTGTGTTTATCAGCAGGGTAATATAATAATTCTTAATAATGTATGCAAGATATGAACTCATTTCCAGGGAGCTTCCCTGAACAAAATCAATAGAAGTGAGTGCATATTTTCTCAACTTGATTACTTGTGTAGATTTAAATCCAAAACTACTCCAAATCCCTTTGTTCATAGTGGATCTTCTAGGCCAACTGCCTGTTTTTCCTCCTCCAGAATTTAACAGCCTCCAGGAACTAAGATCTTTTGCACAATCTGGGGTGGAGAAAACTGGGCATAACCTACATATTGATGATATATCACCTCATGCCAATAGATGACTTCTCCAGTGGCTTCATGTAGGTGATAACTGAGGGCAGGGGGGAGGTGAGGGAGAATGGCCAAGCTCTATGACACTGTACAGCTGAGGTCCCAAGAATTCTTCCCCTACATCATCAACTGAAACTGGCCCCTAAGGAAGGAGAAAAACCATTGCAACACACTCATAATGCTAGGGCTGGCTTTAGGCTAAGGCCAAGTAGGCACTGGCCTAGGGTGCCAAAACTTAGGGGGTGCTAATTCTGTCCCTTCTTCCAAATCATTCTAAAAATGCAAATCTTTCTATCACTGGGAGGTGGAATCAATGTGACTCTGGAGCCAGCACTGGATAATCCTTGCAACTGACCGAGAAGGATACCATGGTCCATGGTATCAAAGGCAACTGAGAGATCCAGCAAGAAGGAGAGGCCCACTTCCCCTATCCTGGTCTGCAGTGGGAGGAAGAAGGTGGCAAAGGTCAGCTGGGGGGGGCAGCAGAGGTAGGCGGTGGCAGTGGAGTGCAGGACAGCCAAAAGGGCAGAGATAGGGGGAGATAAGTGGGTGGGCGGAGTTGAACTGGAGGCAAGCAAGGCAGGGCAGGGCAGGGCAGGAGAAGTGTGAGGACCTTGCCTACCAACAGCGTGGCCTTCACCTAATGGCCACAACTAGGACTACTGGGACTGCTGTCGCTAAGTGGTGAAGTCACGTGATGTTTTGCCTAACAACAGCTTTGCTTAGCGACATAAATTCCGATCCCAATTAGGGTCATTAAGTGAGGACTACCTGTATGTAAAATAAAAATTACATAGTTCTGTTGGAGCTTTATTAATTTCTGGAGTTTCTCCAGGTTGGCAGAAACTTAAACTGAGATAGTAGAAGCAAATCCAAAAATTATGGGGATTTTGTTAAAATATATTTTTGCTTATAGATGTCTAATAGCACCTCTTGCCTCTAAAATGACTAGAATAAAAATTGAATTTTCCCCCCACTTCCACATGGGGAAAAAATAGTTAGAAAACATGAAAAATCTGTAATCAGTTCTGTGTATCTTTATATTAAAATCAGTAAATTCCTGCATGTCTATTATTTCCAATTCCTGGAGCTACAGTGGAACATTTCCAGTTCTGTTCCTGTATTTTAGAAAGCAATATTGTAATAGACATGCAAGTTTTAATTAACAAACAAGATTTATCAAGGCGATCAAATGTTTGGTTTATTTTACTTTTCTAGTAACACTGAAAATTACCTTTCCTGTAGAAAGAGGTGAAAGTGGAGATTGTATGAAAGGTTCCAAAATGGCTGAATTAGAGAGAGATGCCAGAAAATCCACCTTAAAAAATAAGAAGCACTCAGTAAAGGAGGAAGAAAAAAGAGCAGTAGGAAAACTGGTATAGGCAAATTCTGGCAAACAAGGTGGACTGCTAAAATGTATACATACCATATGACTCACGTAATCAGAAGCAACACACATCCAAGCAAAAGTTCTTGCCCTCAGCACAATTTCAACTATACTATAATGTTCAGATCCTAGAGGTTAGAAAGTATAAAGCA